TATAGAAATCAATAACTTATTGCTTGTGCATTGGATCCAAAACTAAATCAGTGCTTCTTGGGTCATGTCTGTAACACTCCAGCTTCCTGCAACACTCCAAGGAGAGGGCTTCATGGTCACACAGTTTTGGGGGTCATTTGCCATCCCATATGCCCTCCAGGGTCATGCAGTGTTCAGAGCTCACCCTGGGTCCTCTGCAGTACACACAGTGCACTTTCATTATTATTATTCTTATTAACTGAATCTTTATTGGTACATTTTAGATACACAGACCAATTACATTCATCATTGGGATCTTGTACCTTTACATGACAGTTCTTGGTTCTTACTTTTCCCCATACCCCATCCCTCCCCTTACCCCTCCACCCTCCCCTATTTACAAAGACTTTTTTCCATTTTCCCCTTTTCTCTTATAACAGTGCACTCACTCTCTGAGCCATGGGTTTCCGCAAAGCAGCAGGTGTCAATGTTTGTGAAGAGTGCTCTCTCCACTTATTTGAATCCAGAAAACTTCACTGAAAGACACTTATTAAAATGCTAGGAAGTGGTATCTGGAATAAACCATTCTGATGGGAGCAGAGAAATTGCCCTGAAAATGATAATTATGAGTAATTGATAATTTTGTTATGGAGCAGTCAAGTCCTGCTATGGAGTGTTGGTGTCTGTGTTGAGGAAGATAAAAGTGTGACACAGCAGGCATTTGTGCCACTGCTTCCGGAACGTGGAGCACTGCTGCAGCTGCTCATTCATCGGTGTATGGCTGATGCTCCGACTTCCACGGTGGCTGCTAGTTTGAGTCTCATTAACTTTCCTCCGGGCTCCAGGTCTGGATCTACCCCAGAGCCTCTGCTACCTCAGCCCACCAGAGTGGGCTGGTCAGGGTCCTGGACCTCTCTATATGCACAGGACAAGCAGGGGGTTTCCAATGCTATGTCCACATCCTGCCCAGTGGACAGAAGAAACCATCTGCCCACTGGGGCTGACATGTACTGATTGTTCACAGCCCTTCATGTGGATGCCACAGTTTTCAGATTTCTTGCTCCTTACTTCTCCCTAAATCCATGTCACTGCCACTGGAGGCTGGGGACAGAGGTTTCAGTGTGGTCTACACAGAGGCCTGTGTCATAAGCCCTTCCCCACTCTGGATAGGCAAATTAAAAAATAGGTGGTCATGGCCCCCAGGGGCCACACTGACTATTGCTACTTGTCTTCAACTCTGAGGAGCAAGAATTGGGGAACTTTTAACCTCCCCAAAACTCTTAGGCTTCCTGTCAACTGGTCACTCCTCCATTGGAGCTGATTGCCACAAATTCTTTAACACAAGATGTGGTCCAGCAAGAAGTCTCAATGTCTTTACCCCAGGCAAGGGAGCTTCCCTGAGTCATATTTAGAGAACTCAAGCACGTTACTCACATTATTGTATGTGAAGTTTCAAGTTGATGTTTTTGTCCTAAACTTTTATCCTTGCTTAATACGTTTCTAAGAAATGTGTATCACTGCTTGCCAAAATAAATTTAATTCTGAGAGGGCATGGCTCAGTCTCCTACTGCGGCAGGATGGCACACATAAACACCACGTGTGATTTACTATGTCTCTGCAGAAGGCATCTCAGGTAGGCAGGAGGGGGTGCTGCACTTTTATCAGTGCAGACACTTATCTTGTGTCTGCCCCCCTCCTGGATAGGGAGGGATGGCTCAGCTTAATCACTCAGAGGGGACCAGAAGGAGCGGCAGTCCCTGCCCTTTCTATGTGGAAGGAAGGTCTTTCCTAGAAACTGCAGCAGACCTCTTTAGATTTCATTCACCAGGGACGTTCCACGTGGTCCTCCTCCTGTGTCAATAAACTCCGGGAATGTGTCATTTTGCTGCTCCAGGACTGTGTATTGAAGCCGCAAGAGAGCTGGGTTATATTGTCACAGACGTACCATGTCAGTTGGCTACCCCAGCACAGCGCCACAGCCATGCTCGAGATGTCTCTCGTCATCTCTCCTGAACTTTCTAATGGGCTACTCCAGAATGGTGTCACCCATCATAGTGCTGCTGCTGTTAAGACCTGTCACACTGCCTGACTACGTCACCTTGTCATCTCACGACTGTCACAAAGCTACCCTGGAACGGCATTGAACCCCTACCTCTGAAGGCAAACAGCTGTGCACTCAGAACGGAGGGGTGCCTTCCTCCCGTGGGAGGTGAGCTCTGCTCCTGGAGAGGGAAGCGAGAGTGGCCAACTGTGGACTGACCCCTGACCTGAAGCTGTGTTCCACTGAAAGGTGGGCCTCAAATGTGTGTGCACGAGAATGTACCAGCAGGCACCATGGGAAGGAGATTGAGGGCCTGGGGAATCATTGATGCTGCAGACAGAGCTGAATGATGGACTGTGTGAAGCGAAGTCATCATTAGGAGAAGAATGGATTTGCTCAGCCAGACAAGAGAAGCAATTAAAGGTGTGGAGCAAGGAAAGGGGCTGGAAGCTGTGTTTTCTGTGATCCAATGTCTCCAAGCCTCTGGGCTTGTTCCCTGCCCAGCATGGATTCCAGCCCTGGGCTTTTCCTTGCCAACAGAGCAGCAGTCCGCAGTCCCCCATCTTCCTGGTAGGAGTGGAGCAGATGACAGGAGCCCGCCGGCCTTGGGCAGTGCTCTTGCTGATGGAGGTGGCACACGTTCTTGTTCCTAATGTAAGGTTGGGGTTCATGGGGGCTGGGACACGAGCAGGGAAATGGGGTCACTCAGGGACATTTGTGTCCAGAAGCTGCGGGGACAGAGAACCAGTTTCTGACCCGGGCCACCTTGTGCCTGCATTCCATGTTGGGGGCATTGTCCTTTCCCTCCTGAAAAATGTCAAGAATTTTCATCTACATTACCGGGAATACGCTTTCTTGTTAATTTATTCAACTGATATTTCAACATAATTAAATGTTTTTCAAGTTCTTAGACTCATTTCGCATTCCTCAAGTTCTTAGACTCAAACTCATTACTGAGTTTTTGATATTTGCATCATGCCTTAGGAGTATTTGCTGTGGGAATTGTCTTATGATTGTGAAATAAGCTATTTCTAGTGGGCTTTACAAAATGTGCACACCTGATCCCCAGGCCACTGAGGATGTGCTTGTCCCGGCTGTGAGGAGTAGCTGGGGTGGCTTTGTGATGATACCAAGCTGCCCTCCACAGATGCTGGGTGTGTGGGTGGGCAGGTGGGGAGGCTAAGGTGCTGCTGGGCTCCCACATCTGAGTTCCAAGCTGGGGAAAACTGCAGAGCAACGTTCCTGTGTGAGCAGGAGCAGGCCAATCCCCCACCACCTCGTTCCAGGCAGCAGCGCCCACAGTGCCCGCCCCTCTTCTCTTCAATGACAACCTGACTCTCCAAAGTGTCAGTAATAAGCCAGCTCCCAGTTCGCGTGGGGACTTTTCAGGGCTCGTGGCAATGTTCCTGCAGCTCTGGGGGATGCGGCTGCCTACAGAGGATCCTCTCCGCTGTGCACGATTCAAAGGCAGAGCTGCTGGGGAGGCAACATTATTCCTTGCTAGCAGGAGAACAGAATACATTGCTTTAATGCTCAAATATGTCATTTCAGAAGAAAATATGTAAGTCCTCCTGCTGGAGCCTGCTTCCCATTCCTTATTTGTGCAAGTGAGCTCTCCTGTCTCCTAGCCCACGATGTTCCCACGGATGAGTCCTCAGAAAATCCTGCATAGCAATTTAGAGACTGCAGGGTGTAATAAAGCTGAAGGCTTGGAATGAGCTGCAAGAGAGGCATTCTGCAACCTGACATTTGGCTGTCACTGGCACGGTGACAGCAGTCCACTGTTGAGGGGCTGGCCTGTGTGGAGGCAGCCAAGTGGGAAGGAGCTCCTGTGGGCTCTGAGAGGTGTGACCACAGGCGGCCCTATTGCTTTGGAAGCTCCTAGTTGATTCACCGTGCAACACCAGCTTGGGTCTGAGCTTAGACTGTGCTCAGGAGGAGAAAAGCCCCTGTACCATTGGGTGTGTGCATGCACAGCATGTTTTTGGCTTTTCATGTGGAATCACAGGATGTGCTCAGTAACTGTGCTCCATACGTTGTTTTGCCCTTGGTTGCTCACACAAATATGGAAGAGGCTGCCTTAGATGCCTGCGTGTGAGCCTTGAATAGTGCTTTGCATTTCCAGGGTCTGATGGCAGGATGCCCTTTCCAGGCTGCTTGCTGGCCAACTGGTCCTCTGCTAGCTTTAGAAAGCGGAAGACAAAATTCAATCTGCTTTGTAAAACAGGTAGTTTTGCCTTGTCCTAGTGTCTCCTGGAGAGATGGGGACTTAAAAGCATCAGGAAGTAGATAACATGAAAAATGGTAGTTTCTCCCTTTCCTTGAGTCTTCCATGCGACCTCTCGATCCTCCTTTCATAGAACACCCTGAGCTTCCTTTTTTCTCTCCCTGTACAGCAGCATGTTGTGGACGTGCAGAATAAATCAGCAGGTGGGGGAAGAGGATCGACTTTAGGCTTTTCAGTGTGCTCTGATTTTCTTTGTCATTTGCAGAACTGAGTGAGAGAAGAGCACTGGAGGACCTTAGTCATTGCCCTGCTCAGCATGAACAGGTTAATCTTCTAGGTAGGCACTAGGGCCTCCAAGGACTGGCACCCAGCAGATGCCACTGGACGCAAACACAGTACTCATGCTACCCACAGATGAAGGCAATGAGGACAGATGCTGATGATGGTGACAGTGACGGAGGTGACAACAATGACAAAGACGACGACGATGATGATGATGGTGATGGTGACGGAGTATGGAAAGGACAAGCAGAGAACTTCCGCTTGGGGAGGTCAGAACACCTTCCACGAAGAAAACAGGTGACATCCGAACCTGGTTTGAAAGATTGGTAGAATTTTTTTACAAAAATTCTTTTGAGGGGAGGGCTAATTCTTAAAGAAGACAGAAATGTGATTGTTGATTCTGAGGGATTCAAAGGAATCGATGCCATGAAAAACAGAATCGAGGGGATGATTGTGACGTCACAGGACTGCAGCACACGAGATTGGGGGGAAGGGGCTCAGGTGCCGACTGGGGGTGGAGGCGGGCAATGCAGGAAAGTGTGCACCTCTCGGGCTAGTGAGCAGGCAGCTGGGGGACGCAGAGGCAGCCAGCAGGCCAGGCACCAGATTCTCCTTTTAGCAAACTCCCACTAGTGACTTCAGCAAGGCACCTTCTCACGTTTCCTTCCACAGTAAGCTTCCGAGGGAGGATCTGAAAGGGTTAGGAGGGTTTAGTGCACACAGCCGCGTGTAAAGCGGGACCATAGGAAGACACCGGGCTGGGACCGAAGCGGAGGTGTCTCCTCACCTTGGCACAAGGCCTCAGGAGCTTCCCGGTGTGTCGAGTGTGGTGGCGGGGCACGAATCGCAGGTCCAGCGGCCAAGCCGGGGAGGGTGATCTCTGAAAGACACAGGCAGCCACGGTCCTTTGTCAGCCCAGAAATGCCACGGTGTTCGAACAAAAAGTCAAGTACGTATCATAGCAACAAGACAAACATGGGCTGTAGGGTCTTGTTATTTGTGTGGGATTGGATTTTCTTTTATTAATTCTTTATGTGTGAGGTCCTCACCTCAGTGACATAAACCAGCAGTTCCACCCCTTGCCTTCAGCCAGGCTCCTACCACAGTTCAGTCCCTGCTGAGCATTCTCGCCCCTCAGATTTCATCATGACCAGCACGCCCGGTCACTCAGTTACTGAGAGAACTTTCCAGATGTGCTTCATGCAAGTAACTTTAAAGCTGATAATATCCTACGCAGGTAGTGTGCTGGCAGATTGTAGTAATCCCATGCAGACTTGCAGGGGAGTCAATATTTCGTTCACAGTTTAGGAAAAATCCTGGTTTTGTGCCATTCCTTTCTCCCAGGAAAAGTGCTTCCTAGAATGCGTGAATCTTTGTCTCATCCCCATGAGGCCCATGTGGGAAAGATTTTCTGTGTTTACAGATGGGGCAGTTGAAGCGGGCATGATCAAGGGGGTGATTTTACCAAAAATAAAATAAATTTCCCAAGGCAGAGTGAGAATCCCTTGCTGCACCCTACTTGTGTCCATTCCCTTGCTTTAGGACTAGGCGTGAGTATAAGGGTGCTCACCTTTAAATAGCTGCATGATTTGTGGAAGAAGTGGGTTTCAGTGCCGCAGTGGCTCGTGGCCCAGGTGGAGGTCTTGTGGACTGTCTCAGAGCCTCTGCAGCCCTCATGCCACCTGTGCCCACCATGCAGCCTCCTCGTGCCCCTCCTCGGGGGTTTCTTTCACAGTGGGTGGAAGAATCTCTCTGCCTTCTCTCTCTCCTACCTACATTCCATCTGCAACAGAAACACAGAAGGCAAGCATAGGAAATTTCGTTTGTTAAATTTAACTTCCTTCTATTGGAGGTTTGCCTACTTCTTTTTAAGAAAAGAAATCCCTACACAGAGGTGAGTGCTTTTGAACACTTTCCATCCCAGTACAGAAAAGGGTGAAGTCTCAGACTCTGGGGACTTTGCGAATGTGACCTGGAGATTTGTGCCAAGCCGGGGCTCTGGGGACACACTGCTCTGTCTGCTTGCTCAGTCTGCTCGCTCAGTGAGCACCAGTTCATAGAGCCACTGCCCTGCACTCTGGAGCCTGACAGCCAACCTTCAAGCCATGGATTCTCCATGGAATGCCCTTGGCAGTGTGGTATCAGGGCTCATGGGTCTGCTGGAGAAGGTCAGAGGAATGCAGGACTTTGTAGCACACTTGCTTGCAACAGGCTCGCAGGAAATAGGATTAGAAATCGATTCCCTGTGGTTCAAAGTTACTAGGAAATTGTGAAGAAGCCAGACTCTGTGGATGCGCATCTCATTAAGAAACAAAATCGTCTGTCCTTTGATATCATAAAGAAGTTATAATCATCCACTTAAACTTTAGACCTCTCTTGGTCTGTTTCACCCAACTCCTAGGTAAACATCATTGAGATAACTAATCAAAGAGTAACTATTACCTCCTGGCAGTGCCAAACCTCGTTTCCTTGAGTTTTCCACAGAATCACTCAACACAGCCTAAATACTACAGGAACAATACCAATGCCCTTCTAGAGCGTGGCCCATGGGTCCGTAGGGAGTGGGTCTTCCTCACTCAGCAGCTAACAGTCAACCCAATCTTTCTCAGATCCAAGGGTTTGTCTGGCACTCTTTTGGGAGGACATCGATATACCTTATTTCTCATTTTCCGGTTAAAATGTCTCAGAAGGTGAAAGGGTGGTGCTCTGATTTCCGCTATCGTCAGTCTTTCTGATGAGAAGTCTGGTGCCAGTATGATTTTTGTTCATGGTGCATGTGCAATTTCTTTCAAGCTTGGCAGATGAAGGCTGACATCGGAAAGTATTTACCAAGTACCCGTCACGTTCCAGCGATTAAATAACACATCCTTCATACTTTAGCAAATGTAATCCTCATGAAAGCCAGACCAGAGAGCCGCCACCTGAGCTTCATACAAATGAAGTATCTGCTCAAGGTCACAGGGCTGCTTAGTGGCAGAGCTGGACTTCTGCCCAGAACCATCCTGCTTGTAATTGCCAGGGCTGCACGGTTATGCTAATGACCTCAAGATCATCTCACAAGCATTCTGTTATAAAGAGTCACTTAATGAAAAAGCTGAAACTAATGATTAAAATCAGAATTTGAGATTACTTATGGATTTCATTGGCAGGCAAGTACCGACTTACAATTTCCTCATGTTTAGCTCAATGCAATTCAACTTCAGGAAAAGACAGCCAGCAGTGAGTCCAGAGAGCAGGGTATGATGAGCTCTTTGCAATAGAAAGTCAGAATCATGAAAGACTGACTTTTCTAGCTAGCATGCTGGACCACAAAAAGAATTTGCATTGGAAAAACCTAAAATTTTCGTTTAGAGATGTCTCTATTTTTTATATTTGAAATGCAAATATTTCATTATAATGAATGAGTTCTGAAAAACTGTTAAAGAAATCAAAGTTGATAACTTACAGTCAAAATACAAGTGGTCCATGTAAGCAAAGGTGGGCCTGGCACAAGGGTGGATGCCGAGTCTTGGTCTTGGATGGTGAAGCCACCGCACTGGGGCTCTTGTCAGGGTGCCATGTTAGTCATCTGTTAGATCACATGGAACCTGAAAATCTACTCGATGCTCATCAAAGTCTTAGCAACCTCAATTTATCTTTTTCCTCATTCCCAGTTTCTGGGGTAGCTTCTAGTTTCTTCTGCATTCGTGAGAGACAAGAAGTGGCCAGACCAATTCCAGTTAAAGCAGGTGCCTGCAGTTTGTGGCCGGAGGAGGTCTTCCACAGCACCCAGGGCATGAAGATGCAGACTGGCCATGAGAGGCAACTGCTCAGCTTTGCTGTGGCCCAGAAGAATGGACGCAGAGTTTGGAAAATGAGTCCCGATACAAAGAACACAGACCCACTTGGTGGCTTAGAGCACCTCTGGAGAGCAAGTTCCTTAATGGTGGAACTTTAGTGTCCTCCCACCTGCCTGCCAGTGGAGGACTCTTTCCAACAGTTGGTGATGGAGGCTCTTCTTGGTCTTCAGAGTGCGATACTGTGGCAGAAAACATGTTTTTAATAAGTGTACAGTGTGTGTGTGTGTGCATGTGTAATGGGGGGAGAGAGAGAGAGAGAAAGAGAGAGACAGATTGCCCTCAGAGCCCTGTTCCCTCCTTTAACATTGGCTGCCCACTGCAAGTGGGTGATGTGACAGGGCAGGGCCAAGTGGGATGGAGGGCAAAGTCAAGGTGCTCTGTGAGCGTGGGTTTGCTCTATCTCTAGCAGCTGAGGAGGTGTAGTTTCAATACTGATAAGACCAGCACCTTCTGCTAATCCTCAGCTAAGTGCACAAACTGACTAATAAAACAGGGACGCAGACTCCCGCCAGCACTGCAGGTGGTTCAATCAACCCAGTTTTATATAATATGTACTTTCATGGGGATATGAAGTTCCTGGAGAAATCAAGCAAGAAGGAGGAGCAGCCTGAATCCTACATCATTCTGATCTGTAGGAGGAAATCTCAGGAGGAGTTTTCTTTCTCAGAAGGAAAAAGAAGAAAAAAAATAATCATTATAATTTTTGCTGGGTTGTTTTAGGTTCCTGCATTACCAGGTTTTCTTTTGTTCTCCTCAAGGCATCTGGGATTTAAAACAAAGAAAACATGGTTTCCTTGAGAGCAAAATCTCTAGATGCTTCCATGAAGTTATGGCTGAATTTCATACCACCAGAACTGAGCACACCCAGAGCCAGTGGCCAGTTGTCCCCTCCAACAAGGTTGGGGTCAGAGAAGAGGCAGAGAAGGGAACGAATTGGAGTGGGTTGCAGGAAGAGGGCAGTGCCAATTAAAAGGTGACAAGAGGGTTGACACAGAAAGCTGGGCATGCTGTTACTGTTTGGATTTCAGACTTCTGATAATGTTAACTGCCCTTACAACATGATTCATGTCAACCAAAATCAAGAACAAAAGGCTAACGAACAAAATGGGCAGAATCACACATGCTGTATGTATTCCATCAAACAACTTTTGTAAAATTAAGTGATAATTATGATTGCTCGAGTGTAGGATGTCCCTGTGATATCCACTGCTTTGGTTGGTGTGGTCAGAGAGAGGGATGGTCACTCCATCCTGCACCGTGGGGCGTGATTGCGGCCGGGGAAGATGGTGCATTTGACTCCCAGCTTTGGCTTTCATTTTGGGGTGCTGGGGATCAAATCCAGGGGTCTGTGATGCCAGGCACGGCCTCTGCTGCTGTAACTTGGATCAGCCATTGATGAAACTCTTGCAATGTCCTGATTCACTCATTCCTCCAATCACCTTCGTTTGGTGGACTTCATTCTCCAGGGCAAGACGTCACTAGCAGTCTTACCCACTGTCTTTATACAATTTCCCCAATAACAAATATTCTAGCTTAGCAAGAAATCTTGATATCGGGTACAGTAAAACCAGTGGTCCATAAGCCAGTTGTCAGATTCAAATGCTGGTTTTGTCAGGAACTAGCTACCTTGCCCTAGCCTTCATTTTTCTATCAGTGAACCCGGGATACCTCCTGCAGTCACTGCAGGAATTTACTGAGACTGCATAACATGGCTGCGTAAAAAACTTATCTGACCTAGATTCAGCATCAAATGAGTAGATCGAGGTTCACCCTTTAATCAGTGCGAGTGGACTTTAGATACAACACAGAAAAGACCCATTTGGTCTTAAGTAAATCTAGATCTTATGAACTCTCTGCTGTTTCAAAATTTGGGAAGAGCCTTAGTAAACACAGCACTTAACTGCAGGCATTAAATGTGAAGCCTCCTGAAAGTGTACTATTTGTTTCCAAGACCCACCATCACATATTTCTTAAATCTGGGGTTTAAACCAGGAGGCCCTGCTCGTCCCATGACCAGAAGACATTGTTCTTTCTCAACAGAGATCCCTGCTTTCTCAGGGAGATTCAAGTTCTCCCAAGCTCTTGTCAGACTTACACATGAGTAGCTTGC